ATGGAAGATGTAACTGTGTGCGGTTATACTTAATTTACAACACTTTATTTTGAGGAAAGAAAAAGACAATTGTACTAAACTATATACTAAAAGCAACATCTAAAAAGCTGTCATGGGAGATAGCAATGAACACCACCTACCTAGTTAACTTTATAAGAATTAGAAAAATCCATGACCTGAAGACAATGTTAAAGAAAACAAACACCAGGTAGTTCTAGGAAAACATCCTTGGTGCCACTGTCAGAGCTGAATATTTAAAATGAATCTCTGGTATACCATCTATCTTAGTTATGCAGTACTACTAGTAAGAGAAATACCACAAGAGGATGGCTTTAACAAACAGAAATTGATTTTCTCATAGTTAAGGCTATTAGAAGTCTGAATTCAGAGTACTGGTTCTAGGGGAAGGCTTTCTCTCTGTCAGCCCTGGGGAAGGTCCTTGTCTCTTCTGCTTCTGTTTCCTGGTTCCTTGGAAATTTCCATGTGGCTTGGAATCTATCTTCCCCCATGTCTGCTTGCTTCATCTGCTCATTTTATATTTTGCAAGAAACTGACTCCAGACATACCCTATACTAGTCCTTCCTCATAACAAAAGACAACCCATTCACAGATGGGATCATAACCACAGGCAAAGAGGTTAGGATTTATAACCCGTATTTTTGAGAGATACAATTCAATCCATAATATTCCACTCTTTGGCCTCCCAAAATTCATGTCCTTGTCACAAACAAAACACATTCACCCTATATCACCTCCAAAATCCAAAAATCAACTCCAAATCCAAAATCCCATCTTCTGAAGCATTTAAGTCAAATATGGATAGAACTTCAGGTATATTCCACGCTAGGGCAAAATTCTTCACCTGTGAACCTGTGAAATCTAGAATACAAGTTAACTGTTCCAAAGTACAATGATGAAATAGGAACAAAGTAGACACTGTCATTACAAATGGGAAAAATTGGCGGGAAAGGATAACAGGCACCAAACAAGTCCAAATCCCAGCAGAACAAATTACATTAGCTCTCAAGGCTTGAAAATAATCCTCTATCTCTGAGGCCATCTGGGCAATGACCCTACTCTCCAGACTCTGGGTGTTAGCCACACCCTCTGGATTCTGGGTGGTGACACTCCAGCCCTGGGCTCCAGTTCCACCTTCCAGGCCCTCTGGGATGGCAACTCTGCTCCCTCTACTTTAGGCAGCTCCATTCTCCTAGTCTATGTAAGTGGCAATCCCAAACCCTCTACCCCAAGCAGGACCCATTCTTCGCCCCTTTGGCAAGGCAGTCTGCCCCCTCACCTTTAGGCAGTGGCCTCAGCTCCTTGGCACACCTTAATGGCAACCTCACACTCTAAAACCAAATAATGGTGAAGAGCTGACTCTTTGAAACCTAGGAGGCTGTTGCCCTACCCTTTTAGGTCCAAGAGACCAAGGCCCCATCCTTTGAAACCAAAAAGGCACTGCTTCTCATGCTCCTTCCAACAGTTCGGCTGATCTCTGAGCTGCCCCAGGGTTAGTCCTTTTCTTCCCTTAAAGGACAAGAGAGATAGCTCCATTGGCCTATAGAATTCCAAGAGGCAGCCAGCTTTTTTCCTTTCATTCTTTCTGTTCCCTTCAGTCTAAGTTGATAGGTTTTCTGCTTTGGTAGTTGGTTGGATCCATCAGTCACAGGCTTAATCTCTTTAACACATGTCCTTAGTTTGTAAAACAAAATTTTTCAAGTATTTAAGTTCTGTTTTCATTTTGCACAGTTCATTTTTTAGTCCATCTCTTTCCTCCCTCATTCTACTGTAAGTAGTGAGGAGAAATTACATGGCCCCTTTGAGATCTTGCTTATCTCATCAGCCAGACATCCAAATTCATCACTTACAAGTTCTACCTTCCACAAGACATAGGCATAAAATTCAGACAAGTTCTTTGCCACTGCACAGAAAGTATTACCCTTCCTCCATTGTCCACCATCTCCTTTCAAAGCCTCACCAGAAGCACATTTAAAGTCCACATTTCTAGCACCATTCTGTTGCCAGCACCATGTGTTCTATAAGATAATAGACTTTCTCTACAACTGTTCTCACTTTCTTCTGAGCCTTCACCAGAATTGCCTTTGACACCCATAATTCTACCAACAGTCTCTTCAAGGCAAGCTATGCTTTTACTATTAGGAGCTCTGGTGGTGTAGTGCCCAAGGCATTTGACTGCTAACCAGAAGGCTGGTGGTTCAAACCCACTAGCCACTCTTCAAAAAGAAGGTTGGGCAATTTACTTCTGTAGCGATACTGCCTCAGAAACCCAAGGAGGGGTCGCTATGAGTCGGATCCGACTCCAGCCTCTACCCATTAATCAATTCTAAAACCATTTCCACAATTTACCTATATGTTAGAGCTGCACCCCACTTCTTGGTACCAAATTCTGTCTTAGGTAACTAGTGCTGCTGTAACAGAAATACCACAAGTGGATGTCTTTAACAATCAGAAATTGATTTTCTCAGTTAAGGAGGTTAGAAGTCAGAATTCAGGGTGCTGGTTCTAGGGAAAAGCTTTCTCTCTCTGTTAGCCCTGGGGGAAAGTGCTTGTCTCTCCTGCTTCTGTTTCCTGGTCCCTTGGAGATCTCCATGAGGCTTGGCATCAATTTTCCCCCATCTCTGCTTGCTTCACCTGCTAATTTTATCTTGTAAGCAATTGACTCTATATATACCCTATATTAATCCCTCCTCATTAACAAGAAAACAATAACCCATTCTCAAATGGGACTGTAACCTCTGGCAGAGGTTAGGATTTACAACAAATATATTTGGGTGACACAATTCAATCCATAACACCATCTTGATTCCCGTGGCCAAAACAAGGTTGGAAAGAATTTCAGTAACATAAAAAGCCATTGTACCTCAGCATCTTTATTCTTCCTAAAACAGCATAACCATTCCCCCAGACTTAATTTTCCTCATAGCACTTATCGCTACCTGACACTATATGGTACCACAACTCTCCTTTTCTTTATTATTTCCCATTAATGGTTTTAAAGATTCCAAACCCGGGCTCTTGAAGCACTGGACCACAGGTGGGATACAGGCAGGTGAAGCAGAGGACTTAGGCTTTGTTCGGCAGGCAGGCAGGCTAGCTTCCGTGAGGGCAGTAAGTGTTCTAGGCCGCTCCTGCTGCTGAGTGGTGCGGAAGACCAGGCAAGGCTGGGTGCACTCTCCCCGTCGGCCTCCTTTCCCACTGCAGCCCTCTCAGGTGCTCCAACAGCAGCAGTAGCAGCAGCAGGGCAACAATGACCAGAAGCAGGCTCTCACCAGTTTTAATACAGTGTTCACACAACGTCCAAATTACATAACTCCTATTTCACAGAAGGTATCATGGATGTTAAGCAACACATACCTGTGTATCTGGGTTTTTTTTTTTTAAAAAACAAACAAACAATTTACCTCCCCTATAGAATGCAAGCTCTATGAAGACAAGCATTTTGCTTTGTTGTTTACTACCACATCCCCAGCACCTGAATAGTATCTAATATATATGTCAGATGTGCAATAAACATTAATTGAATG